TTTTTTAATTTATTCAAAGTTGTTCGTTATTGTACACAAATTATTTATTTATTATTGAAGTGATTCCTAAATATACTAAAACCATTTTAAAATAAATATTATATTTGTTTAAATTAATTGATTGGTTTTATTGTTGATGCAAAAAATATTTCCCTTTAACACAAAAAAAAACTAAAATAAATTAGGTATTGAAAAATAAAATGGCAGTAAGTGTGTAGTTATGAATAATTTAAAATCACAATGTTTGCTTTACATTATTATTTGTTATCTTATAAACTGACAGTCGCATGTATATCAAAAATGAAAACAATATCAGTTTACACTGCACAACCTACAGCATACAACCGTCATATGATACAAATAATTGAATCGCAGATCGTAATTATGAATTTCTAAGCACAAAGTTTCAGGTAAATCTTTTAAGTAACTCATGAAAGCATCTATGTCTTACAAGCATACTGAAAAATTTACTGAAAATGCGATAAAGCAAGGAGATGTCGAACAAACGACGAGTGAAAAAGAAGATCAAAAAGTAAAAATTAATTCAAAAATAAAAATTCAAAAATAGTTTGTCCAAAAATAATTTAGGTTCAAAAATAATTTAATCAAAATAAAGTGTCCAAAAATAAGTTGTATAAGATTTGTAAAAACAATTTAAAATAATTTGTCCAATAATAAATTTTACTGAATAAATATAACTGGAAACATCGTGTAAATTAGGTATATATTTATCTCGCCAACAAATCTTTGCAGCTCCCACTACCCCCTCCCTCCCCTCCCTTAACACGAATTCTAAATTCGCCACTAATTCTAACAGATATATAGCCAGTTATTGATAAAATATAATATTCACGATGCCAAGATTAATTCCACAATCAGTACACCGTATTTGTACGGACGGGGCGAGGAGACGAAAGGTGAGAAGTAAGAGAGGGGATAAAGAGAAGAATTTTATGCAGATACAACTTTTTTATTAATGAATAAATGTGTAAGACGCTCTGCGCTTATAATAGACAACGTAAATATTCATGCCGGTGTAATCACTGTTGCCACTTCCAACCTAATTTGACTAGGTTTTGGTATTTATTGAAAATGATTACATCTAATTTAGTAAAATTACATTTAATTTAGTTAAATTTGATATGACTACTTTTTTGGGTTCAGGCAATAAAATAGGTTGAATTATTTTAGCTTTTTTAATATATGTAAATAAATTTGTAAAAAAAACTAAAATAATGAAATAGGCACATGACAACAGTTTTATGCAGGACCGCACGATATTTTTTAGTAGTTGCATCTCTTGTTATCTTTGGATTCTACTGAAGAAAATAGCCTACATGGTCGGTTACAAAACTAATTTGAAATTCTCCTTAATTTTTCTCTACTGATCTACTTTATTCGACATTATTTCTATCTGAATCAAGGGGTGGTACAAAAGCATTTTAGTATGCTCTATACCTTTTAATTCAAATCGTCCAATTCCCACAAAATAACAAATTATTGCTAAAATTTTCGGAGTTAAAAAAAAATATGAATTTTAAAAATATGTACTTTGGAAATTATTTGTTGTACAAAGATAGTTCTAATCTCAAATTGTAGCATATTTAGTCTATTTTGAAAAATGTTTAGCACAGTTATAATCTAAAACAACTCCTGCACGTTTAAAAGAACAAAAACTGAAGAAAAGTAAAAAATTCGTGTTTTTTTTAGACACCAGCACATTGTATTTTTACAATTACTTCAAATATTTATAAATGATTTATTTATACAGTATTTTAATGCGAGCCGTTTCTTTATTCAGTCATGCTCTAATCCTCCAAATCTCTCTCTGTCTTATTTGGCCTTTGAGGTTCAACCTGTCCGATTATCATACATAATTAAACCCCTTGAGACCAAACATATGTAATCTATGGCGAAGGCGCTTTCGAGTACATTCCAGAATAAACGTAATAATTTTTCCAATTTTTGGCGAAGAACATTCTAAAACTTTCACCATAATTTTAAATGTGTATACAAATATTAGTGGAGGAACACGGAGCAGTCAGTCGTTTACAAACAGTTGTGAAGATAAATAGTGAACAATTTAAAGAGATTCGAAATGTATATAAATTAGAATAGTATTGTAAATAAGTGTTCAAATAAATTATTAAGATTCAAATAAACTGTTGTTTAAAATAAACAAACGTAACCGTATCTTAGTAAATAGAAATAGCATAAGAAACGAGATTAAATGACAAACAGTAACTGCCATTTTTTGCAACTTTTCCTGAACTATCTTTCAGCCTGAGGTATAATAATCTGAATTGTATCTCTTGTTTTGATTCATCGAGCATGGGATTCTGTTTTGTATTTGTAAGGCATTACCGTCGGATTCAAAATAAATTTCGGCGTGCGGTCGGATTTTTCTTTTTTTACGCATTTAGAACTGATATGTTCGAATGAACTTCATTCGCTTCAGGGCAGGTAATCAAATAAAAAAGTTAACTGCTTGTAAAAATGGAAATGTAATTGAACACTCATTAAATACAATAAAGAGTTCGTAACAGAGGAAATTTGATTTGTTGTTTAGCTTAGAACAAGGCAAAGACTAATCGTGAATTTTGTTATATAGGGCGAGGCATTTAAGTTGGCACATCCTAATATTGCGACAACAAAGCGTTATATAAAAAATGTTTCAGATAAAATATATTATTTAATTTGACATTAAAGGGACAACAAACCATTTTCAAGAACTTTTCAATGACATTGAACGGGTAACAGACCAGTCTTAGTTTGCATTTTTAAGGACTTTTCAAGGTCAACTTTGTTTCTCAAATAAAAACGTGCATTAATTGTTTTACCAAGGGAAAGTGAAGTGAGAAAATCAGTTGAGATCTGAAAAACTGAAATGCAATTTTGGAAATATGAAAATATATTATCCCCAGTTCCCCTACGAAATCATGAAAAATACACTCTGAAAATTAAAAAAATAGAAAAAATAAATGATTCGATCAGGGATCGAACCTAGAACATTCTGACTAGAGCCGTCCGCGCCTCTACCAGTTGGAATATCGATGCACATGATAGTTGAAAGCAAATAAATTAAAATTGAAAACAAATATGTATGATCAATATTAATTAGGATTTGTTACTATTAAATATGTCGTATTGTACCATTTATTTGTTATTTTGCAATATTGCTAAAGATTTGTATTTTATTAGTATGTTTTGAAATTAAATGTTAATGTTTTGGTTCTGCTGAAAAATGTCTGGATTGTTCAGGTTTTGTTAATTTTTTCTATCCGTTTTTTTTTTCAACAAATCTTCATTAATTTTTGAGTATTGTAGTTCTGTTCATTGTGGTCATTTATATCGTCATTAATAAAAATTTTGTCAATATCTAAGTTGAAAGGGTCATCTGTATTCATATGTCCGTTATTAAGTCTATAGGTTTGCGTTTGGTTGTAGAATGTATAGAGTGTTTATATGTCATTCGCATAAGGCATTTTTAAAGGAATTGATGTTTTAAAAGAGCCTTTAATATTGTTACCCATCGCCCTATTATTATTCAAGAAATATAATTTCACGTCAAGAAACAACTAGACGTTAAGCGGCACTTAAGGCCATATCGAGTTAAAAAGTTACGTCGAGGCTGGTATGGGAATGCATCGAAGAACTAGATAGTTACCATTTTCTTCTTATGCAACATGCCTTCCCACATTGGGTTCATCAAATGTGGAATTGAATAACGAAATTTGTGAATCAACATCAAATAAATATATTTAGGGATTATTGTGGACAGGCTTATGAAATGGAACTTTCATTTGAAACAATTCATGAAAAAGTTAAGAGGGTTTTTAACAAAATTTAGATATCTATGTGACTTTCTAAACATACACTGCTTAAGGTATCTTTATTTTTATTTAATGAAATCCTTATTAATATACGGCATCATTGGTTGAGGAGGTGTGTATGATTACACATTAAAAGATGTTCATGTAATACAAAAAGAATTTTAAGAATAATTTACAAAAAAAATATTGTATACCCTAGTAACGCACTTTACGAAGATTCTAATATATATGATATGAGACAACTATACTTTTTACAAATTGTATTATTTTTGAAAAATCTAAAATTACGTTAAAACCTCATGACCATCCCTATAATACACGTCGACCTAAAGCTATTTTATTTCCGCGATAAGAAAAAAGTATTGGCCGAAGATGTAGTAATTACCTCCTAGAATCTTTATTATGGTACCTCAAGAAATAAAGGACATTTCGTTGTACAGTACAGTACAAAAATAGACTAAAAATCTGTCTTCAAAAAGAACATAAATTAGCAAGTGATGTTATAATCTTACAAAATGTATTTACCTTAATTTTTTTTTCCTATTTTGACTATACACGTACACGATAATAATTCATTGAAAACTTTTATAATTATGTCAAAACAAAAAATACAAATTTTGTTTTTATTTCTATATTTTTATTATTATTTGTATCCTAATTTATATTTGATTAAATATTTATAATTTTTTAAGATTTTTGTTTAAATTAATTTTTGTTCTTTCTTGAGTTTTATAGGAACATATACACAGACCCGTTTAATGTTTCATGTACCTATCTTTAATCATGTGTTATGTATATGTACTTTAACACGTACAAGCAGTTTCAAACTGCTTTTGTGATTGCCCCCTATTTTTTATTCTCTTTTTTTTTAATTGTATTTATGATGTATCATTATCTGAATAAACATTATTTTTATTATTATTAATATTATTAATCTCAGTACCTGTTTCGTAATCCATTACCGTATGAGTTATATCATCACTAATCAAATATCCCATTCTCACTTCCTTTATAAAACATGTAACTTCGTTAAAATTAAATAATATCCTAACTAAAAATAATCAAAAAGAAAATTCCATTTCGCAAAAATAATATTCTTTGAAAAATGTCGGAGAGAGTATATTTCATTCGTATTAAGAGGTTCATATGTTGCATTTTATTTTCCAGGTTGGAAATATCTCATGTTTTCAATGGTCTCCATGGCGACGGCGATGCTCTGCAAAGAACAAGGGATTACGGTGGCTGGAGTTTGTGCTGCATACGAAATTTTCGTCACTCAAAAGGTGAGTCCTAGCCGTAATTGCTTTTTGCTAACATCGAATGTCATATACGTATGTACACATATGCATCTAAAGCTTCCGAACGTAAAGCGTAAGAGGAAATTGCGGATTTCGGAAAATATGATGAATAGATTTTAGGGATTTAGTTCGAATCAAATTATTCGAAATTATTATAAGTCAAACTGAAATTGACCAAAACGTAAAATAAAATAAAAAATATAAGTATAGGATCCATATAGGTCATCTCTATATTGTAACGTTTATTAATTTTAAAGATTTAATTATTTAATTTATTCAGTACTATTTTTTTGTATTTAATACTATTGAATTGACAATTTATCTTTACACAGTAATATCTAGACTTCAACTGAACTCATATCGACAAAGTAGCGCTATTAATAAAAAATATGGCGATACATTCTTGTTTTTCGGAGTTTCTCATCGATCTAGACTAGCAGAGATCACAACTAACAATGTTTCTGGCAGTTTTTAATGTTTCTAGCTTTCTCTTAACATACTGAACGATCACATCGACCAGACGCGCTGACGATAACGGAACATAACAAGCAAGCCGAAGTGGTTGAAAATGGCTCGCATAACAAAATACTGTGTGCAGTGCCAACGTTTACCAGTTCTTCTAGGTTAAATATTGTTTATTTTTATCAATATTTATCAAGCTTCAACCTAAAAAGTTTTGTAATGCATGACCTGCGGCGCAGATTTCACTGTTTGTAGAACTAACAATTATTTGCAAGTGGCAAATAAGTACTATACAATTCTAAAAACAAAAATGAAAAACCATTTTAAACAATAACAAAAAATATTTATAATTGACAAACTTCAAAACCTTACGAATTAAGGATTCAAATATTTCACCATTTTTTGCTAAAACATTGGCAAAACTGTGATAAAGAGAAGCGAGAGACACAAGTAATATTTTTACAGTGGTAACAAAAAGCTTCTGGAACACTAATTTTAAAAGTCACTACAAGATAGCGTCATCTGTCAGTGTTAAGAAATAAAACGTGGTTAAGTAGTTTGCAAAGCGGCTAAGCTATTTAAGATCGTTAACGTGAACAAGTATAGGCAAACAAAAATATACGAAAAAAACAAAACCAAAGAGATATAAGCTTTATATATTTGCTAATATTGGTCAGATATAACATCTCCTTCATAGTACCATTTATTTTGTTTGTTTGAATCGGACCAATAAGAGTGGAGATATACGGTAATGCCATTATGACATTTTCACTGCACCCGATGTTTCTCTTCAAATTAATGTACATCACGTCTCCTTTTTTGTGCCGTTTGTCTCACGCAAATCTAACCAATAATAACGGAGACATACGTTAATACATTTTTGGTAATACCACTGCGCATGATTTTTATCCACTTCGTTATTCTATGTCTCGTCTCCTTTATAATACTGTTTGTCTCATATAAATCGAACCAATAATAACAAGCATATAAGTTTTTGGATTTGTATCTTTATTGTTAATCTACGGTACGTCTCCTTCATAGTATCGTTTGTCCCATGTAAATCGAACTCATAGTAACGTAGATATTTATTAATGCCTTTGTGGTAATTCTACTGGGCACGATTTTTCTATTCAACGTTAATGTACGTCATGTTTCCTTCATAGTGCCGTTTGTCCCAATAATAGCGGATATATAGACGTATGCCCTTTTGGCTTTGCCACTGCGCATAATTTTTCACTTCACGTTATTTTACGTCACGTCTCCAACATAGTATCGTTTTTCCCATGCAAATCGAACCAACAGTAACGACAATATAAAATTATACCCTTTTGGCTTTGTTTTTCGTTTACCTTGCATACTTGTTCAATCTAAACAATGACTGCCATCTTGGATCGCTCAAAAATGACAGATGGCGCCAGCTTGTGGTGACTTTTACAAGTAGTGTCCCAGAAGTCCCCTTGTTATACTACAATAGACATAATTTCTCCCTTAATCCATCAAGATTAGTAGCTATTTCCCATTGATATTCATAGATATCTTCTTTCATAAAAATAAATCATTTAGTGCAGGGTCTAGCAATCAAAGAGGCCATTTTATCCTATTTATTTTCATCACTTGATGGGTAAGTTGGTTAAGGAGCATGTGTAGAACGGGTATGTGAAGAATTCAAACCCTTCACATGGTTTGAATCCTTCCCAGCACAGAGTTTTACAATCTTTCAATTATTTCGTTTTCACTTTGTCGAATTATAAAAAAGAAATATTAATTTTCATTACACAGATACAGTTTTGAAAAATTTATTTGTGAATTCCAAAGAATGTATATAAAACTTTAATAGTATAACAGAGTTATTCTATTGTAATCGATTTCATCAAATATTTAAGGATTCATACATTTTTTATTGAAAGTCAATTACAACTTTCATATCCTAAACTATAATTGTCTTCTAATTGGAAAGAACAGTTATTAAATAATCCATCCCTAATATTAACTAATATACTGTCGTAATATCTAGTTCATATTCGATTATTGTTTTGTTTTAATTATTTTAGACATGAATAATTAAAAATCCACTTTGCGGATGGGAAAGAAATTTACTTTTATTCCTATAAAGTTCTCGGCATTTTTATTTATAAAACGAATCTGAATGTGTCTAAGATATAATTTTTTTATTGAATTTCTTACAATTTTGGATCTCTCGAAATCATAGCGGTTTTAGAACTAAATCTGTACTTCTTTCATATATCTCAACTCAATACATCTTTCTGGTTCCAAATAAAAACATTTTCTATCCAAAGGGCGATTTCTACCCTTCTGATTCATTCTAAATTACAGTCGCTTCAGTACATGATTTTACAAACTAAAACTATTGTACTGCCCCATTAATTTTATTTTGATAGGATTTTATAATTCTCATTATACAAATATTTATTATTAAACGGTAAGTTCAGCTCCTTTGGCGATGTTTAAAAGACACAGCTACACATTTCGGATAATAATAGTATACTTTTCAGACTAAATAGTTTTCTTAAAACCAGCCTACAACTACAGGGTGAGACAGAATAACGTGCGATATTTTAAAAAACCCTGCAATCACGTCTTATCGTTAGGAGGTGGTGGAGACGTTATCGGCTATGTTTCCTGTATAATATCATATGAAAGTAATGGAGCGATGGACTCCTTAATAGCGCCGGTACGCTATATAGGCGTTTTATCAAAAGGAGTGATCTCCAAATCGCGTGATTTCTCGAAATGTGAACATAATCTAACCTCTCCGTTCACCAGACCTCACAAGTGCGTTTTTTCTTGTAGGGTTACTTGAAGAGTAGTGTTTTAAGATAACCGACCGCAAAAAAGTTAAGTCTTGAAAAACATATCTGACAGAAAGTGAATAAATTCACCTGGAAAAAATAATTAGTGGATCATACTGGTACGTCACTAGTACATTCTAGTGCAATTGTTTTTTTCACAAATATCATTGAGAGACCAACTTCACCGACCTTAAAATATTGTTTTTGCAGAATCCTCAAAAACGTTACCACAATGTTATTATTATTCCGAAATAATTTTTTATTTATATAAATATATGTTAAAAGAAAAAAAAATACTTAATTGGAGATGTTGCTCTTGTGAAATTTTGTGACTAGTAAAGAACAATGATATTTTCATAGATTTTTAACCGTTTAACTAGGGTTTATGTCTACTAGAGAGCGCGCTCAGATCATTTTGTACATTCTGTGACATGTGCTGTTTTTGGAAGATAGTCTTCAATTATCCATGTTCTCAAAGATTTTATAAAAAAAACCTTCAATCCTATATCCTTCTCTGTACCTTTAACGTGTGAAGTGTGGGTTGTTCCATGGTACCTAGGCCTAACTATGTGCATCTTTCTCAATTTTTAAGCCCCTTTTATTTCATCAGTCAGTCTTACATAGTTGATATAGTTGATAATGTTGCCGACGTTCTTTTCCTATATTTAAATACAAATTCTTTATTGGCCCATTACTACAATTTGGGACCTATTGACCATTGGATAGATCGGGTAAGATTACAGAGTATACAAATGAAAATTAAAAATACATAAATATGCACAGATATAAAATTAAATAAAGAGTATAATGAGATGTCCAACAGCATTTGAGTCACTTTCCTCTTAAATACAGTTAGGAATAAGTTTTTTAAGTCATTAGGTATTAGATTATAAAGATAAGATCCTTGATAATCAAACGACTACCGAAAGTGAAAGGTTTTTCATTTGGGATATAATTTGAATTTTTATTTTTCGTATTACAATTCTATATAATCTGATTTTATCATAAAGCTTTATTTATTTTTATGAATATTTATAAGCAGTTGCTGTATATATTTTCTGCAACTGTAAGTATTTTAAATTGTTTAAATAAAGATTTACACGAACATATTGGTGATTTATTTGCTAGAGCCCTTATTATAGGTTTTTAAACTAGAAAAACGTCGCAAATACTAGTGGAGCGTCTCCTAATTGTTATTCCATTCAGTAGGTTTGATTGCACTTGTCTAACATATAAAGTTCCTTAGTACTATAGATTTAAGTGATTTCATAATTTTACTACTTTGCGAGTTAAATTTCATATTACTAACCATACTAATACCCAAAAAAGTAACAGAATCTCATTGCTCAATATCTTCGTTATTAATTAACACATCATATAAACATACGTTTGACTTATCTTTAATGTGAAAAATCATATATTTTGTTTTATTGTAGTTTATATATAAAGAGTTAGCCAGTTTATTAGTGTATTAAATAATGAATTTAAATTAGATTAAATATTTGACTCGGATTTGTCAGTAATAAGCAATGTTGCACCATCTTCATACAAACAAGTAAGACATTGTGATTGACTTTTAGGTAAGTCATTTAAATAGAGAGCGAATAATAATAGGCCCAAAATTAAACCCTGTGGAACTCCAGTATTATGCCCTATACATAACGAATAATTTGTCGTTGAACTTTAAACACTTTTGAGCTTATTTTTACATCC